TAAAATGAGGATAATGATATCGTGAGCTGCCAGTTTCACAGGGTTTAAATGGAGATCCAACGTAAGACACACTTTGTAAACTGCAGGTTGAACTTTCATCCTTATGAGTCTCGTTTTCCTGTGGGATAGCCCTCTGGGAACCCCCTCGCCAGGGATCTGCTTTACTACTTCATGCCAAAGCCCTGTGCCCTGGCCATAGTCCGGAGTGAATTTGCTAGTCTTCCCTGAAGGGTGCCATGCGTGGTGGTTCTTGTCTTACTTGTCCTGTGACAACAGCAGTTGCTGAGGCTGCACACAGCGGAGGAGGGCAGAGTTGGGTGTGAAGGGGCTGGCTGGAAAATGTGCACTGGGCAGGATGAGTCTCACCACAGGCTCATAACGGAGATCGTACATTTGCTTTGTATATGAGAGAAGACTTAGAACAAAAAAAAAAAAGAACGAACTGAAGATATGTGGAAAGTAGATGGGACCACAGAGAAAAATACACAGAAAGGCAACTAGAAATGCTAAGGAAAAGATAAGTTTGTCAAAGAAAAAATACAATCATAGTACACTATTTGGCTCTGCAGTGAATAATATTTACATGGTTATAATGTAAGTGAAATTATTGATCTAACTATAACAAGATTGTATTGGGATGCTGGGAACAATGGTGAAAGAAAAAACTCAATAATGTTTAAAACAGATGAACTGGGAAACAGAACACTGTTTGGAAATATGGAAATATCCGCCAGGAAAAAAAAAAAAAACAGCTGAAAGGTTGAAAGTGATTGTAGGACTAGGGTGGCGCAGGAGGCTCTGGTTTGTCATCACAAACCTTATGGTATTATTATAGTTTTTTTTTTATTTAAATCATCATGTGTATTATGTAGATCAAACGTATTTTTAAAAGAGAACTTCTGTAAATCATAGGACTTTGATTTTCAGACAGAAGCTTGGAAAGCTCGTCTAGTGCAGTCTCTCACTTTCAGACAGGTAAACGCCTAAACCCAGGTGAGCTTTTAGCACATCCTGCTCAGCCCCAGAAGAGACTATCATAGGAGAAGCAATGCTGTTCCCACTTGTGCTGCTCGAAGGAAGTTGGAAGAGTCCCTGGGTGGCGCATATGGTTAAGCATTTGCCTACTAACTGAAGGTTGGAGGTTTGAACCCACCCAGAGGCGCCTGGGAGACAGACCTGGCAATCTGCTTCTGGAAGGTCACAGCCTTGAAAATCCTGCGGAGCGGTTCTACTGTGCACACGAGGGGTCTCCAAGAGTTGGAGTCAACTCAACGGCAACTGGTATGGAAGTTGTGTTTGAAGGAGACAGAGGATTTGGGGAATGCTCACTGACTACTGAAAGACTGTGTGCCCTCTGCGGGGTCTCCACTGAAGTTGAAAGGGGTATTGGAGTGGGGGGCCAGGAGACCCAGGTCTAGTCCTGGCTTTGCTCCTGCTTCACTGTGGGACCAGAGCGAGTCAGGGGCCTCCCTGGCCTCAGTTCCCACCTGGGACAACTGAGAATTTGAGCTGTCCAAGGGCCTTTATAGTTCTACATTTCTAGAACTGTAAAATGGCACAGAAAGCTATTTTAATGGCAGAAACAGCTTTCTGTGCCATTTTACGGTTCTATCACGGCAAGGAACGGAGGGGGAGATGAACAATAAACAAGTGAACAAAGAAGATACTTTCACATAGAGAAAGTGTCCCGAAGAAAATAAACCAGGGTAATGGGGTAGATAATACTCGAGGGGGCGTGGCTACTTTCCATAGGGTGGCCAGGGACTGCTTCTCAGTGGAGGGGATATTTGAACAGAGACCTAGACCATGTGGGTGAGCCTGTGAGGGCCAATGGGGGAGTGTGTTCCTGGAACTGTGCTCCAGGGAACTGAGACAAGGCCAGTCTGGCTAAAGGGGCACCGAAGCCTGAAGGGAGGGACCAAGGTGGGGGAGAAAGATCTATACCAGATATGACTTTTTTTTAAGGGAAAATAAATTTCTGTGAATGGCACAGATGAATTCTGATGCCCCCTGAGTTGGGGGGGCCAGCCTTCAACCAACACACAGCCCAGGGAGTAGTTTGTTCTTCAGCATCTCCAGAGAGGGCCCACGGAGTCCCTGCGCAGGAGTAAAATATGAGCATGTACTGTGGGAAGGAGATGGCGCTACTGGGAATAGCCCTGGGGATGGCCAGGGCTGGTGTGCACCTGCCAGTTGTATACTCCGCGGGGCATTAAGGCATTAAGGTCAAAGACCACGTCAAGACCTTCTCTACCCACCCAGGTCGCCCCTGGGTTGGCCCAGTGCTTTATACCCTCTGAAGACCCTTCAAGATCAGGGATGACACAGCACTAACAGTGCCCAGGATGCTTTGCAGTATCCACTGTAAATTAAAATCAGACACCCTTGGACGCAGCACCTCCACTTCTGGGAATCTGTCCTTCAGATATACTAACACAAGTGTGCAAATAAGTGCAAGGGTGTTCACTAGCAGTGTGGTTTGTAGTAGCAAAATGTCTGGAAACCACCTACATGGCCATCAGTTGGGACCTACCAGTTAACCACTTGCTGTGGCGTCCCCTCCAACTCATGGCGCCCCCACGTGTGTCAGAGTAGAACTGTGCGCCATAGGGTTTTCCGTGGCTGATTTTTCAGAAGTAGATCACCAGGTCTTTCTTCCAAGGTGCCTCTGGGTAACTCGAACCTCCACCTTTAGCTTCGCAGCTGAGCACGTTAACCGTCTGCACCACCCAGGGACTCCAGTGGGGAACTAATTTATTAAATTGTGGCGCAGCCACACAAGGGAACACTACACTGCCTCATCCAAAAATCGAAAATCATCCAAACTCATGCCCTATAACATCTGAATTCCACACTTTGGAAAAGAATGGGTTAAAGCCTTTTTTTTTTTCTTTTCTAGAAAGCTTCAATTATGTGTCCATATGCATTTGTTTCATCTGAACTGAACAATATATGAAGCCCTTAACCTGCTGCCGTCAAGTCGATTCCAACTCATAGCGACCCTGTAGGACAGAGTAGAACTGCCCCATAGGGTTTCCGAGGAGTGGCTGGTGGCTTTGAACTGCCAACCTTTCGGTTAGCAGCCTAGCTCTTAACGACTGTGCCACCAGGGCCCCAGCACCCCTTAGCACCCTGGAATTTATGGCCCTGGTGAGGCTGGCATTTTGGCTTTCCAGCTAATATAAAATAATGTGGCATTCAGCATGGCACACAAGCCTTTTCTGCAAGGGTCAGAACTGCATCTATTTGGAGGCAGCATAGGATGGCAGCTAAGAATGACGCAGGCCTGAACAAAGGGGAATTTGTCCTCTTTAAAAGAATTGGAAGAATCTCTTAGCCAGCTCATTGGGTTCTTCCAAGTGGTGATGCATAGAGTCACAGTGGGGACTTCCCAGGACTGAGTTTCACAGCCACACGGCCCCTGGCTTGTTGGTAATGAGCCCGGGGTCTGGTCTCAAGGGCTGGCCCCTGTGTGAGCCCCGAGCCTCGGTCAGTCCCATGAGCACAGAGGGAATAACGGAGGGAGAGGGAGTGTGGCAGAGGGACAGCCGGCAGAGGAAGGGGGGAGGGTTTCGTGCCGTGCACATCTGCCAGTGGAGGTGGGAGAGTTGGTGCTAGGAAAAACAACCAAACGAACAACTGCACTTTAGTCAACTTCACGGTGACCCCGTGTGTCAGAGTAGAACTGTTGTCTATGGTGTTTGCAATGGCTGATTTTTCGTAAGAAGATAGCCAGGCCTTTCTTCCCAGGGGCATCTGCGTGGACCTGAACCACCAACCTTTCAGTTAGCAGCCGAGCATGTTAACCTTTTGCACCACGCAGGGATAGGGATGCCCAGCATCAGAAAAGGGCTATTTAAAATGAAGCTACTTCAGAAATATCAGTGGATGTTCAAACCACTGGGCAAAATTTGATGAGAGGATCTTTGTATTGTCTCAAAGTATCTCCCCAGAAGTTACTTTTTAACTACAAAGGGAAAAAAAAGAGTACAGTGGAGAAATCTGGCCAATCTTAACCAAGTGATCAAAGTTAGCATCAGCATTAATGCAGCAGCCAGCCTCCTGCGCCTCCTGGTGTGAGGCACTGAGAGAACGACATGGCACGGCTCCTCTAAGCATCCCAGCCCAGAAACCATCAGCCGAATCCAGTCATAAGGAAGCAGCACACACACACTGAGGGCCATTCTACAGAATAAATGGTCAGTGCTCTCAAATAATACCAGTGTCATGAAAGGCAAAGAAAGGCTGAGGAACCATTCCAGAATAAAAGAGATGAAAGAGACCACCACCGTCTGTCAGTGTCTCACACTGCAGTGGCTGGCATGTTGCTACGATCCTGGAAGCTACACCACCCGTATTTCAAATACCAGCGGGGTCACTCATGGTGGACAGGTTTCAGCAGAGCTTCCAGACTAAGACAAACTAGGAAGAAAGGCCTGGCGATCTACTTCTGAAAATTGACCGATGAAAACCTATGGATCACAAACAGAGCATTGTCCACTATAGTGCTGGAAGATGACCCCTCTAGGTTGGATGACACTCAAAATACACCATGGCCGCCAGCAATGGACTGGAGCACGCCAGTGATTGTGAAGATGGTGCAGGACTGGGCAGTGTTTTGTTCTACTGTTCATGCGGTCACCACGAGTTGGGGCAACTCAACAGCAGCTAACAAGAGCGACAACAAAGAGACAGAACAACACAAAGCAACGTGTCACCTTGAATTTTCTGTACCAGAAAAAAAAAGCTGTAAAGGACATTCTTGGGACAATTGGAGAAATTCAAAAATGGACTAGAGATGAGATAGAAGTATTGTATCGATGTTAAATTTCTTAATTGTGATAATCATACTATGGTTATATTTTCTAAAACCCCATTATAAGTTGCTTCTTTTTAAAAGTGTTTTCTCACTGACAGATTTGAATTTCTCTCTTACCTTCTTTAGAACGTCTGTCTCCGGGCTTTGAAAGTGCCCCCTCGCCCAACCCTGCCCCGTGAAAATGTTGGTGCTTCTTGCCTTCATCATTGTCTTCCACATCACCTCCGCGGCCTTGCTTTTCATTGCCACCATCGATAATGTGAGTCTCCTTTTCCTTTAACCCTTTCAGAAGCCCTGACTCCTAGAGTCAACAGAGGTGGGATGGAGAACTTGCTCAGGACAATCACAATTTGGGGTTGTCCTCCCTCCCAAGGAACACCCCACCCATGAGCTCAGCCCAGGCCTGAAGACTCATGACTTAAGTATGGGAATTCTGGAGCATTCTGTGTTTCAGCTTGGATGGGCAGGTCCTGCAGGTCTCTGATCCCCAGGGAGCTGGCCTAGTGCCTGGCCTTGGAAGCTCTTGAAGGATGTTGCTTGAATTCCATCCTTCCCTAGATCAGAGTGTCTCAACCTCAGCACTATGGATATTTTGGGCTAGATTGTTATTTGTTGTGAGGGCTGTCCTGTGCACTGAAGGACATTTAGCAGCAACTCTGGCCTTTGCTCATGAGATGCCAGTAGCACTCCCACCCCTACCTGTGACAATGAAAAATGTCTTCAGACATTGCCAGATGTCCGTCCCCTGGGGGGTACGACCACCCCCAGTTGAGGACCACTGTCCTAGGTCCCCAGGTGACCTCTGTCCCACCCTACTCTCCCTGACATCTTCTTACCAGCCAGCATCCTTTGTTGCTAGCCCACCTGGCCATGCCCTCCCCACCGGAACTCAGGCTTGGAACTCACCTGAATCTCTCCTACCCTCCTCCTGCGATGAGAAGTTTAACTCTCCTTTAGTATCCAGCTCCTGGCCATACGGCAGGAATGTATTTGATGATTAACCCACTGGCATAGATCACTGTGCCCCTGGCAGCAAGTGAAGCTGTTCCACAGAGGTCATCTGTGGTCCACAGGAGTCCCTGGGCGGCGTAAGCAGTTAAGCACTTAACTACTAACCAAAAGGTTGGCAGTTTGAACCTACCCAGGGGTGCCTTGGAAGGCCTGGTGATCTACTTCCAAAAGCCCTGTGGAGCACAGTTCTACTCTGACACACATGGGGTCGCCATGGGTCGGGTTCGACTGGATGGCAACTGGGTTTTTTTTTGTTTTTTTTTTTTGTTTTTCCATTTCTTGCAACTCATTCTTTGGGATCCCGAAAGTTCCCAGACATAATGAAAGAGATAAACAGACATCTGGGGGCAGAAAAGCCATCGGCCACAGCTCCACTTAATCTTAATTCTCTCAGGCACCCATGGATGTTTATATTATCGCGGTGCTTACTGAAAGGACACAGAATGAACTCTTTTGCCAGTCAGTGAGCCAGAGGGCGTTCACTATGTTTGGAACTGTGCTTGCAGTGTGGCTGGGCGTGTCACAGGAGCTCAGTGAATATTTATTGACGGAACAGCCAGTGGTGCCCATGGCTGTTGTAGGAAACACAGAGCCCCTGTCACTTAAATATGGACTCTAGCCTTTGGGAGGATGGAGAGAAGGAAGGCCCTCTGGGGGTGGGAACAGCACATGCACAGAGGGAAACTAAAGCACTGAGCTGAAGGTACGGGAAGTCTTGTTGGATCATTCCTGTCCGTAGCAGGCTCCCCCCCACTAAATTTATCCCTTTCTAACTTCGCATTCACGTTGCCCATATAGTTCATGTGCAGCATACCGCCATCTACTACTCTGTTGGAGTCTCTGGGTGGTGCAAGTGGTTAAGTACTCAGCAGCTAACTGAAAGGCTGGAGGTTTGAGTCTACCCAGTGGTGCCTCAGAAGAAAGGCCTGGAAATCCACTTCCAAAAGATCAGCCATTGAAAACCCTATGGAGCACAGTTCTACTCTGACACACATGGGGTTGCCAGAGTCAGAATCTACTGGAAGGCAGACTACTCTATTTACTGCTCTATTACTGCCAATTGAGCCTTATCTCCTTCGAGGCCCTGAGAGGGCACGGACTGTCTCATCCTTCAGCCGACCAGCAGCATTGGGATCGCCTGGAGCTTGTTAGAAATGCAAAATCTCAGACCCCATCCCTGACTTCCTGAACCAGACCCTGAGTTTTAACAAAGTCCCCAGGTGACTCCATGCACCTTATGGTTTGAGAACTGCAGGTCCCAAATATTTACCTGGGTGCTGCACAGCTAATTAGGAGTCAGCATTTGCATAATTCATGAACAGCCTCTCCCCCTGCTTCTGTTCTGTGTTACAGGCCTGGTGGGTAGGAGAAGAGTTCTTTGCAGATGTCTGGAGAGTCTGCGTCAACAACACGAATTGCACAGAGATCAATGACAGCTATCATGGTGAGTGTGAACGAGAAGCACTGAAAGAGAAAGGAGAAAGGCTTCAGTCTTCTCTGAGAGTCCTCACTCTCTCCACTCACAGCACAGATAGGTGGGCCCTACTGACTTTGCATAAGGAGCCCTGGTAGGGCAATGGTTAAAGCACTTGGCTGCTAACTGAAAGGTCAGCGTTCAAACCCACCAGCTGCTCCATAGGAGAAAAGACCTGGTGATCTACTCCTATAAAGACTACAGCCTAGAAAACCCTATGGGGCAGTTCTGCTCTGTCCTATAGGGTTGCTATGAATCAGGATCGAGGCATATAACAACTGACTGCATAGTGGATACTGGAGTAGGGGACCAGCCGGAGACAAGAGGGGTGTGGAGAAGGCAGGATAAGTTGAACCCTCACTTTCCTATTTCTTGGCAAAGCCAAGCCTCATCTAGAATTTTCTTTCCCCTCCTCTTTTATCCAAGCCTCGCCTCTACAGAGGCTCAGAGATAGTAATTTCCACCGTGGCCACGCTCCCCCATCACAGCAGGCTACTTCAGCAGAAACAGGAAAGGTGGGCTCGGTTCCTTTTTAGGAGCTGTGTGGCCTTTTAAAGGCCAAGTCACTGAAGCTCTCAGAATTTCAGTTTCCTCAGCTGGAAAATGGAGGCAGTGATAATGCACCTGCCATGCCTACCTCATTAAATGAGCTGAAGTACACGAAAGGGCTGTGTAAATACAGAAAATCCTACGAAAAAGCCCCGTAACTATCCCCTATCATTGAGGAACAAATGGTTCTGTTTTCTGTTAAAGGAATTTCAGGTGGGCAGAACCAGCGGAAGAGACACTCTGAGGTTCAGGTTGCCTGATAAAACACAGGACGCCCAGTTAAACATGCATTTCCTTTAAACAACAAATAATTTTTTAGTGTAAGTATGTCCAAAATATTGTATGGGACATACTTACACTAAAAAAAAGTCATTGCTAATCTGATATGCAAATTTAACTGGGCATCTTTGTGTATGTGTGCGTGTGTGTGTGTGTGTGTGTCTTCCAAATCCAGCTACCCTACTTGGGGAGCAAGAGACCCTTCTTACTGGGTCCTAAAGTCTCGCCATGCGCTCAGTAACGACATCAACATTCATAATAACAGCGGCAAAAATCAAAGAGAAGACATTACTTACTGCAGGTTTCCTGCTGGGCACTGGGCTAAATCTTTTATACACGTGCTCTCATAGCCTTATCAGGCAGGGACTGTTGGCGCCATCTTAAGATGGGGAAACTGAGGCCCAGAGAGGTTAAGTTACCCAAGGCCATGGAGCCAGGGGCAAATGTTGGAGCCAGGATTCCCATCTGGACTTGAGCAGCTCCATCTTAACCACATGGTACAATCCATCACACCCGTTGGCTCTGTTTAAGGGAGCCATGATGGCGCGGTGGTTAAAGTGCTCGGCTGCCAACCAAAAAGGTCAGCAGTTTAAACCCACCAGCCGCTCCATGGGAGAAAGATGTGGCAGTCTGCTTCTGCAAAAATATACAGCCTTGGAAACCCTACTGGGCAGTTCTATGAGTCGGAATAGACTCGACGGCAGTGGGTTTGGTTTTTGGTTTGGGCTCTGTTTACCTGCCATGCTGACCCTTGATCAGCCATTCTCCCCGTGCCTTTGCTCTGCATGTCTGTACGTGTCTGTGTGTGACCAGATGCGTGGTCAGCTAGGACGGCCTGCTTTGCTCCGTGGCAGTGTTTCCGAGCCTCTATTTTTTGTGCGCCACCTCCCACATGTGCAGTGATTTACTTGTTATTTTTCTTTAAAACAGGGGTCGGCCCAGGGCCTGCTGTTGTAAGGCCCATGAGCTAAGAGTAGCTGTTACCTTTTTAAGAAGTTGTAAAAGAAAACAAAACAAGAAGGCAAAGAGTATGTGATAAGAGACCGTGTGGCCCGCCAAGCCTAAAACCTGTTTTACGTTTTTTTTTACTGAGGTAAAATTCACATAACATAAAATGAGCCATTTTAAAGTGTACAGTTGAGTGGCATTTAGTGCTCCCACACTGTAGTGCAACCACCACCTCTATCTGGTTCCAGAACATTCTCATCACCCGAAAAGGAAACCCCGTACCCGTCAGCAGTCACTCCTCATCTTCCCCAAGGCCCCAGCCCCTGGCCACCAACAATATGCTTCCAGTCTCTATGGATTTGCCTATTTGGATATTTGTGTAAATGGAATCATACCATATTTTTGTGTTTGGCTTCTTTCACTTAGCATAATGTTTTTGAGGTTCATCCCGCTTGTAGCAGATATCAGTAAGCCTCAAATCTTTCCTTCTGACCCTTTACGGAAAAAGTCTGCCAGCCCCTAGTTTAAAACAACTCACTTTTTCCTTATATAAATTTATTTTAAAGGGAACTTTACACCCCGCCAAAACGATAAGCTGGTATCACCTGCCATAAAGGAAGGAAAACTTAAAAAAGAAATACTACATTGCAAACCAAATGATGTGATTAAATTCTAGCCAAACGTGCTTTCCTCCTGAAGTCTCTAGGCCTATCCCTGGCATGCTCCTTGTTTAAAAAAAAACAAAACCCGGACAAACCGAGGTTAGGAAAGTGCTAAAGTGCCAAGTGGAGTTCATTAGAAATATCTAAACCAGAACTGCAAAGTGAACCTCCCTCATTAAGCGAGCTTCTGTTGTTCAGTGCCCTGACTGGGTACCACCTAACTAAACCCATGTGCCATCAGGGGAATATTATACACACACCCCAACTTGGAGTAACCCTATTTAAAAAAAAAGTATCCATATTTGTTCCCTGTTGTTGTTGTTGTTGGGTGCTGTTGAGTCGATTTCAACTCATAGTGACCCCATGTGACAGAGCAGAATTGCCCCATAGGGTTTTCTAGGCCTCCATCTTTATGGGAGCAGACTGCCAGGTCTTTCTCCCACGGAGCCACTGGGTGGATTGGAATTGCTAACCGAGTGCCCCCAGGGCTCCTTATTCTTTTCCCTAAAGCCATATTTTTTATATTTGCCCTATCATAGGAATCACCTGAGGTATTTGCTAAAAATACAAATTCCTGTAGCCCACCCCATAAAACTCTATCTGACTCTCCAGGGGGAGAGGCCCAGGAATCTGTATTTTTAATAAGCACCCAGGTGATTCCTGGGATCAGGCAAATTGGGAAGGCTCTGCTCTCAGCCAGAGGGTCACAACCTTGGCCAACGTTGAAATCCCTGGGGATCATTAAAAACCACTCATGCCTGGTCAGAGATTCTGCTTTATTTCATCTGGGGAGCCACTTGGCTGGACTTTTTTTTTTTTTTTAATGGAGCTGTAATTTACATACAAGAAAATGCACACTTCTGGAGGTTCAGGTCAGTGAGTTGTGACAATTGCACACACCCATGTGACCACAAACCCAAACAAGATACAGAACATTGCCACCACCCCCAGAAAGTTCCCGCAGGTCCTCTCCAGCCAATCCCCATTAGCCTGTCCCTACGGCAACCACTTTCTGACTTCTGTCCTTAGAGTTTAGTTTGCCTGTCCTTGAACATCATATAACCGGAGTCATGTAACTGGAGCCCTACGGTGTGCATGTGTGGGAGAGGGAGGAGTATGTCTTCTTTCACAGGGAGCTCCAGGTGATTCGAATGTGCAGCCAGAATGCATTCAGACCCACCTCTAAGCATTTCAGGAAGTCCTTACAGATGATGCTTCCCTACAGTCAGTTTCAGGCAAAACTGCAAACAAAAGAAAAACCAGGAAGGCTTGCCTTAGGTTTCCTCTGCAGCTCTGAGTGCTGTCCCATCATCTCGTCTAAGCAGGGTCCTCACACAGGACCCCCTCCCTGCACCATCCCCCTAAAAGCCTTCCAGAGATAAGTTCACTTAACCTCCCCAACCCAATAAGGCAGGGGATATTAGCATCCCACTTTACAGGTGAGGAAACTGCAGCCTGAGCAGGTGGCTCCCCAGTCCATGCTCAGCTGCTTCTCTACACGGCCCGCGGAGCTTCAGCTGTCCCCCTTCACACAGCACACACTACCCCAGACCTTCTTCTCTCCTTTCTCCATTGAAACTTCCCCGTACAGAGCCCAGACCCTCACACCTCGCTCTCTGTTAAGGCTAATTTGAAAAAAGGAACTCGCTTTCTCTTTTCCTAAGTGGCGATCATAAAGATAATCCTCTTATAAATCTCTCCCCCGTGGAGCCCTTTCCAATCCCTGGCCTCGCAGCTCCAGGAGTGCAGAGTGGGTGGTATTTGCTCCATTTTCCCAGTAAGGAAGTTGGGGCCCCTGCAGTCAAGTGCACGAGTGGACACTAGAGGGCAGTGGGTCCAGGCCCTTCGGCTGCCCTTGTGCCTATACCCTGCAGATGGCCACCAGAACCCTGGCACTTTGGCCCCCTGTCATCCCCACTCTGGAATGCCAAGCCCCAGGGGCCCAGGATGGTCTGCAGTCCTCATCGTGTGCTCCTGTCCTCTCCCCTCAGAGTATGCCACCCTGCAGGCTGTCCAGGCCACCATGATCCTTTCCACCATCCTCTGCTGCATCGCCTTCCTGATTTTCGTGCTCCAGCTCTTCCGCCTCAAGCAAGGAGAGAGATTTATCTTAACCTCCATCATCCAGCTCATGTCCTGTAAGTAAAACGATGTGTTTCCCAGGGAAGCATTCTCTTCCCAGCCAGGAGAAGCCAGGAGGAGGATGGAAGGGGAGGACTTGGGAAGGAGAAGTTGGCTGCCATGCAGTGGGAGTCAGGGAAGGCATCCTGAAGACAGGGGGCCTCATCTAGGATCTGTGGGGTGAATAGGAGTTGTGTCTAGAATGTTCTCTCTTGGCACAGAGTGGAGGGGGAGAGTGTACCAGGCAGAGGAAACAGCATGTCTGAACCCCTGTGATGGGAGAGGCTGAGAGCTGGCCAGGTTGGCTGGCGTGTGGAGATGGGGAAGCATGGAGGGAGATGGGAGAGCATGGCGGGAGCTGGGCCAGAGAGGTGGGTGGGCCCAGACCCTGCAGGGTCTTGAAGACCAGGGACAGGAATGGGATCTTTGTCCTAAGCTGGTGGGAAGACAGGAGCGGGTTTTAGGCTGGGCGGTGACAGAAGTATCCACGTTGGACCAGACCTGGGCAGGTGCTGCAGGTGATGAACAAGACACAGCGTCAGTCCTGGAGGAACTTGGAGAAAAAAGATGTTGTCTCAGTTCACTTTTTCCTGCTTGCGAGTGTTAGCCAGGCTGAGACTGGATCAGGAAGCCTTATGCCACACATGATCATTTTGTTGTTGTTGTTCTCAGTAAAGATTCCAAGCTATCTGGTGACATAAAATTAGAAGCCCTTTTGATGGTGCTTTCTTAATCAAGAGTTCATGGATAGCTTGATGAGGACAAGCAATCTGGGGCTGGGAGCCAGTCTATGCCTGTTTCTAACCCCCTCCTCCCACCACCCTCCATGCCTAGGCTCCGTTCCATCCAGCCTGGAGTCAAGTCCAAGCTTGCCATCCCTCAGCACAGCCTGAGCACAGCCACCAGCACACGAGGGTGACCCACTCATCCCAGCTTGCCTGGGGCCATCCCAGTTTCAAAACAGAAAGTCTCGGATCCCAGGAACCCCATGGGACAGTTGGTCACCTCCAGCACTCCTCATGGGGCACTTTAGTTGCAAGGCCAGGGCACCACCCCTACAGGGCTTAGGCTCCCTTACTGGGTCAGGACCTTAATTTGCTCTTGGCAGAGAACTAACGCATTTCAAGTCTGTGAGGATCCCTCTGGGGACCTTTTAAAGTAGATTGTTGTTCTTAGTTGCTGTCGGTTTGGCTCTGACTCACAGTGACCCCATGCACAACAGAACAAAATGTTGCCCACCATCCTGATCATTGATATGATCATTGATGTATTTGAGTCCATTGTTGTGCTCACTGTGTATTTTGAGTGCCTTCCAACCTAGGGGGCTCATCTTCCAGCACCATATCAGATGATACTTTGTTGTGATCCATAAGATTTTCATTGGCTCATTTTTTGGAAGTAGATCATCAGGAGCCTTTCTTCCTAGTCTGTGTTAGTTGGAAGCTCCGCTGAAACCTGTCCACCATGGGTGATGCTGCTGATATTTGAAACACCGGTGGTACAGCTTCCAGCACCACAGCAACATGCAAGCTACCACATTACAACAAACTGACAGATGGGTGGGCGTAGTACAGATTCCCTAGGCCCCATCCCAGACCTACTGAATCAGAATCTGCTGCATTGGAACATGGGGATTTGTACTTTAAAAAAAAATCTCCTGTGCATGTGCCAAGCATTTGGAGGCAGGGACCCAGACCAAATGAAGCTAAAAGAGGTGATGTGATTTGCCCGAGGGAGATGTCTGCTCTCCACCCTTCCTTTACTTTCTCTGTATCTCCTCACCCATCAAGACAGTTGAATCCTGTCACTTAACATCCAGGGCGGGGACTTGGGGAGCTACTCACCGAAGTTTATTTCCCGTCATTGTCTTCACTGATCTATTTATCTGTAAGGCAATTCAGTCAAACTGATAACCCTGATACGTATACACACACACACACACACACACACACACACAATACATATACTTTTGTCTGATATGTATGTGTGTGTGTATATATATATACAACTAACAACAAATATATATATGTATATACACACAAAGCCACAACGGACTCAAACATACCAACGATCCCAACAATCATGAAGATGGTGCAGGACCAGACAGAGTTTTGTTCTCTTATACATAAGGTTACCATGAGTCGGAGCCAACTTGACGACATGTTATCAGGAGGGACAAGTCCCTGGAGAAGGACATCATGCTTGGTACAGTAGAGGGTCAATGAAAAAGAGGAAGACCTTCAACAAGATGGATTGAAAACAGTGTCTGCAACAATGGGCTCAAGCGTAACGACAATTGTGAGGATGGCGCAGGACCGGACAGCGTTTCGTTCTGTTGTACATAGTGTCGCTAAGAGTTGGAACCGACTCGACGGCACCTAACAATAATGTGTGTGTGTGTATGTAGATATTTACATATATATATCTAGTATGTAGTGTATATATCTACATACACACATACATATATACCCCATATTTTGATATGCGAGTCATATCCCCCCATTTCCTTCTATAATATCCATTCTCCCCATTTTCTGATCCAAGGACCCCTCCTCTGTCTGCCCCAAGCCCTCATAGTGTTTAGGTGCTGTATCAGTCACGGATTTCAGGTGCAAGCACCAGGTACTCTAGCTTACATAAGAGGCAGGATTCTGCGGTAGTTCAAGGCAAGAATCAAGGGAAAAGCTGAAACACCATGTCTTGGAAAGAGGATCCAGGCAGCACGAACTGACGGACAGTCGCTTCAGGAAGATACTGTTGGCATCTCTGACAGCATCAGTTTTCTCTAGACTCAAATTTACAGGAAAGAGAGACTGGTGAAGATTGTCTCACACAACCAGTCCTGGGCCAGGGATAGTCTGGGCACCTTGATGGCAGTCCCATCAAAATAGCCTGGCCAGGGAGAGCGGTAGGTCCCCCAGGGAAAATCATGGTACTTAACCACATCCTAGCACTAATGTCTGTGAATTTCAAGATTGTAATGGCCACAGGTAACAGAAAATCCAATCAACAGTTACTTCAGTTATAAATGGTAAATTGTTTTTACTAACAATTAGTCTGGAGATGGAAGGTGCCAGAATTGGTTTGGCAGCTCAACAGCCTGAAGAACCCCCACTCTTTCTATCTTTCTATCATCTTCAGAGTGTTGGTGATGTCCCCTCTATGGGCCCGGAAAGGCTGCTGCAGCACCAAAATTGCATCCTAACATGGGAGTATCTACAGCAGCAAGTAAGGGAAAGTACAGCAACAAAAAATGCTTACTCATCCCTTATCTCCTCCCTTATCTTCAGGGAATAAAATTTTTCACTGAAGGATTTTATGTGGCCAAAACTGGGACATATACAGATCGATAAACCATAACAAGCAAAGAGAACAGGATTGCTAAGGTTGCCTTAGACCAGGAATTGGCAAGCTATGGTCCGCAAGCCAAACCCAACTTGCTGTTTGTCTTTGTAAATAAAGTTTTATTGGAACACAGCCAGGCTTATTTGCATACATACTGTCTATGGCTGCTTTCCTGCTACAACAGCAGAGTTGAATAGTTGCAACAGAGACTGGATGGCCCGCAAAGCCCAAAATATTATCTGGCCTATCCCTGGCTCAGACCAATTATGACTTATCCTCTGGACTGGGTACACAGCCGCCCCAAAAAACTGGGTTCGGCTAGCAAAGATGAGGAAGGACATGGCCACAAGGTAGGCAGCAACATTCTACCACAAAATGTTGTAATTTTTTAAAATAGGCTAAGATACCAGTATCAGCTGCTATCAAGTTGACCCCGACTCATGGTGACCCCATGCGCGTCAGAGGAGAATTGTGCTCCATAGGGTTTTCAGTGGCTGATTTTTCAGAAGGAGATCACCAGGACTTTCTATCGAGTCACTTCTGGGTAGACTTGAACCACCAACCTTGCCCTTAGCAGCCCAGCACATTAACCATCTGGCACCGCCCAAGGACTCCAATAGGCTAAGATAAATAATGATAATAAAAAATAAACGGTGTCTTCAGCTCGATCCCACGCCCCTCAGGTGCCCGCGATTCATTTGTTCCTTTGCTTTCTTTCTGGCAGGCCTGTGTGTCATGATCGCGGCTTCTATTTACACAGACCGGCGCAAGGACCTTCACACCAAGAACCAAGACTTGTACTCCCTGACCTCGGAGGGCAGATACGGCTATGCGTTCGTGCTGGCTTGGGTGGCCTTTGCTTTCACCCTCACCAGTGGTATCATGTATCTAATACTGAGGAAGCGCAAATAAAACCCCGGGAGCTAGGTTGCCTTCCCTGCAGTACGGAATCCACATTCAAATAACCGTTTTGGATATAATCTTTTTTTTTTTTTGGTGGTTTTTCTAGCAAACATATTGTTTCCTTTAGAAACGAAGAAAAGAGTTTTCTTTTCTTTTTTTCCTTTTTTTTTTTTTTTGCATTCTTGAGGTCAGATCATAGACTGTGAAGGCTGGTATTCAGAACTGCCCATCTCAAAGTCTCAAGGAGACAAAGCCAAAAATCCAGTTTGCTCAGTTAGACCATTCTTAACCGTGGGGATGTGATGTGACAAGAGATCAAGGAAGCCAGGTATCTGGGGACAGCCTTCCTCACCTCAGCCTCCCTTCCCTAAAATCGCTGTGTTGGTGGTAGAAGGTGGGGTGAGGAGGGGTTCAGGTGAGGGATGCAGACCGCCTCAGATGTTTAGTCCAAGTTCCATGTGAAGACACAGGGGAAGCCCCTGGTATTCTCTCTCAGAACCAGAAACCAGCCCTCCTGGAATGGGCTGGGAATTGGTCAGATAAGAGCCACCCAAATTTGCTTGCCTTCAGGAAGGTGACTTTAACCTGGGTGTCAGATTTAGGCTTACCTTAAGGCAAACCAAAACCCGTTGGCTTCGAGTCTATTCCGACTCATAGTGACCCTATAGGACGGAGTAGAACTGCCCCATAGGGTTTCCAAGGAACGGCTGGTGGATTATAACTGCAGACCTTTTGGTTAGCAGCCAAATGCTTAACCACTGTGTCACCAGGGCCTCACCCTAAGGCAAGAAATCTCAAAATGTGATCCCGTGGGCTCCTTTCAAAATGCAAATCATCGAGCCCCTCCCCAGACCCACTACATCAGTCTTCAGGGCTAGGGCCAGGGAATCTGCATTTACAATGAGCTCCTTGGCTGATGCTTAAGTACATTAAAGCTGGGAACAGCAGGCCCAGGGCCAGGTGAGCAGACATGCCTCACAAACGTTGAGGAGGTGGGTCTAGACCCCACTGCTGGTCAAAACCTTGACCTTTATTCTTCACTGTCTCTTCCACAGCTGTTTGCCTCTGGGCCACCTAACTCTAGTTCCTGGCCATGCATCCCTGTAGCCAGATACCCTGGCTGGTGCCACCTCCCGCACCCTAGCCTGGAAGGCCTCTCCCTTCTCTTCCCGCCCTATATTCTAAGGTTGGGTGGTCTCTAATATCCCCTATTTCTAGAGCCTCAGAGGACCCATCCACCATCCATCCATCAACAGAAACTATCGAATACTGGCTGTGTGTCAGGCATAGGGGATAGTCTCCTCATGAGGCTCACAGTCTAGTGGAGGAGACAGATTACAAACTAATTAAAAAAATAATTACAAACTGTGATTCAGGCTTCAAAGAACCCAACTATGGATTGAAAATAGAGGCCCATGGGGCAGGAGGGAACCTGCCTTACGCACACTTATTTTTAAATACCCCTAAATGTAGGGCCATCCAGCTACTGCAGATGGCATTTACTGGGCAGTGCCCGTCTGTGTTACAGAGAATGCTTCCTTCCGTGGAGGGTTCCATGGTCTGGACAGCAAGTGAAGAAGCAAAAGGGTCCAGAAGAGCTGAGGTTCTCAGGCTTTAGTGGGAGAATCTGATTTGGCCGGGTCTGGGTGAGGCCCGGGAATATTGTTAGGGAGCAGCCCAGGTGATTCTGAGACTAGACTGACACGTCCAGAGCTTGGGAGTTTGTCTCTAGGTGTCAAAGCACAATGGTGATGCAGACAGCCCCAGTAAACGCACTATGGATGCAGGTCTTTGCACCTCAATGGCTTTTTGCTCGTGTTTGGAGCATGTTGCTGGGGAGGTGTGACTTGTCTGTCACATCTCAGTACTGGTGCTATTTAAATGCTTTTGCCCTTGACCTTCTGTTAAGTAATGGAATTGGGGAGATGTCTAATTTGAGTAGTTTTTGTACCACCATGGACACCTTTTCAGTGTAGGATTGGGTTTTCTGTCCATTTGCTCGCTCACTCACTCACTCATTTATTCATTTTCAGCAAAAAATACTGAATGCTTCCTATGCTCCAGGCACTGTGTGAGGGTCTTAAAATACAGGGGTGAGCAAATCCAGATGTTCTCCCTGCCCTCATGGAGTTTTTAGCCTCCGAGACAGGACCCCCTCCCCATGGAGAGGCCACTAGTACAGTACAAGGTGATATGGGGACAGAGACAGGATAAACTGTTAACTCCTGCCTCCATGGAAACCTGTCATTAAACATGTTGTGGGCAGGAGTAAGGTCATACCCTTGAGTTTGCAGGATGCTACATGAGCCTCATGGAGGGTGTGAGGTCTAATGTGCCCCCAAGCTTCCTACCCAGGTGGTGCTTCTAGAATTTTCTGGTAGTCACAATTGACACAAACAAACACCACCTTAGAACTGGAGATCTGGAAACCCTAACTTGCAAGCAATGTGTGAATTCCCTTCACAAAAAACTTCAGGGGTATGTGAACATTTCTGTTGAATACCATCCAAAATGACCCTATAGATTTTCCTGGCCGGTTGTCACTAAGCAGCACTCAGTGCTTACGTCCACCTGGGGTACTGAGCTTCCTCGAGACATGCCTTTTCTACTGTGTGACACATGCATTTATTTGGAAAGTGGAGAAAAAGGTGATGGCATCAGGGAGAAAATACCTAACATTTTTACCTGTTGATAGGGTGGGCCCTCCCTTGATGCTTATTATCAGTTATCAAGTTATGCAAAAAAAAAAAAAAAAAAATTAGCTAAGACATCCAAGAAGCAAATACTATTAGGACCAAACATATTAGCTTACTCTGGTAACAACTGTATTGGAAGGGACTGTAGTTTGCGCGTTTTATGACATTTTTATAAAGTACTGTAATTCTTTCGTTGAGGGGCTACATGATGGAGACACACTAACTCATTTTCTTATTTGCATTAAAACTCCTTTGGGTCTCTGCTCCAGTAGTTTGGAGAGTGCTCAAGTTGTTGCTCTGCGTGACTGTATATACACATCCTGAATACGGGAAACCTGGGGACCACCTGCATTCCCTTCCACTCCCTGCTCCAGATTGCTTACCTGTGTGCCCAGCCCTAACGAACACGCTCACGTTAGGATGCTCTGTATTAACTGATGGTGAAGAAACCCGGAACTCCAAGCCCGTGTGTAAACACACTAAACCCAGTAGCCTCGATGGACGCTGTATGAGTTTCAAATGTGCCTAGGTGGGGAATTAACTAAAGTCGCTAATAGTTTAAAGGTTACTTACAATCCAGCAAGTTGTACAACTGTGTATATTGGGAGACAGTGGTGATGGGAGAGATGCTAGGGACAGGCCTAGAGGCTAAATCTGAATCTTGGTTTGGTGACAAATGTGATTTTAGGGTAGTTAGAGTCTTTCTACTTAATGTGCCTTTAAAATAGTCCGTTTTCTATGTTTTGTATAATCTGAAAGTGTACATGAAAAATAAAGTTTAAAACAAAATTGCCTGGAGCAACAGACTCTAATGTTCCCAGCTGTGGTAACATTTAGGGAAAAGTGCTGGCAAGCAGAGGAAAAACATTTTGGGAGGCAGGAGGTCATTTGGATTTCTAATCAAGAGGATAATGGCTGGTTTTTACAGCAAACAACTGATGACTGGCAAATCTTCTAGGACAGTCTCCCTTGGCTTCTTTAACGGGAATGGCTTCATGGGTGTTCAACCTGTGCAGTCACCTGGGACCCCACTCTTCCAAGGGCCCCCATGCTTGGTTGAACAGTGCACTCTCGCCATCTTGAAATTCTTAAGGCTATTTGAACAAGTAGCCCTGCGTTTTCCTTTTGCACTAAAAACTCACTGTTGTCCGGTTGACTCTGACTCATAGTGATGCTATAGGACAGGAGAAGTGCCCCACAGGGTTTCCAAGGAGCGGCTGGTGGATTTGAACTGCTGACCTTTTGGTTAGCAGCCATAGCTTTTAACCACTACACGCTGGTTCTTATAAATTACGTAGCCATTTCTATTCTTTAGTTTGCATTTAATAAAGTCCTCTTCTTTGAAGAGTGAGATGATGACAAAAGTCAGACTATTTCTGACTGTACTGTATTACTGTACTGTGCTGAAAAATGAAAAAGTCACTCGAGAGAAAGATCTTCGATGTTTGTCCAAGGAATGCCAAAAATAGTAAAAACTAGCTCTCTAGGGAACTGCATATTTCCTTGCCTCCACACAGGGTTGCAAACTAAAACCTCCAGGGGTCCATGGTCTGTATTTGTGTTTTTAGGAGGTTTTTTTGGTCCACTTGGCAGATGGGTGGTGGTCACCGTACAGCACTCAATTTTATATTTCTTTCATTCAGGAAATCAGCCTAAAATTTATTTGTTCTCTCATTCATTCATCCAACAAATATTCATATACCTACAATGACACAGCATTGTGCTTGGTGTCAGGTACACAATGGTAAACTTAGCCTCTGCCCTGATCTAAGCTGTTTTGCTCCTAATCTCAAGTTTCCAGGAGTTAGACCCTGATTGTTCTATCTTGGGTCACATGTTCATTCATCATTGCTCCAATAATGGCTGAAGTAGGGGTGGGGTCATATAAATGTAGATGCCAGGGGGGCACAGTCCTGTGGGAACTTCCTACAGAAAAGGGGCTGGGAAGACACTTCAAATGGGGATCTCATCTTGGTCTAATCTAGGGGTTGGCAAAATACAGCCCGAGGGCCAAATCTGGCCCACCGCCTGTTTTTATTTGGCTCATGAGCTAGAAATGGCTTTTACATTTTTAAATGGTTGGAAAAAAATGAAAAGAAGACTGGTACTTCAAGACACATGATAATGATATGAAGTTCAAATTTCAGTGTCCATAAATAAGGTTTTATTGGAACACAGCCACACTCAACTGTTTAGATATTGTGTATGGCTGCTTTCACGCTACAATGGCCAAGGTGCAACAGAAACTGCATGGCCTACAAAACCTAAAATATTTACTATCTAGCCCTTTGCAGAAAGTTTGCCAACCCCTGG